AGTAGTCGTGATGTCGGTTTGTGGGCTACTGTGTTAAGTTTATTTAAATGAAGCGCTAAACTTCATAGGTTTGAACTACCGCCTCAGATGTGTCGTAGGTAGTCCATTCTGGTTGTTTGAATCTCCATCCTTAACGGAGGTCTAACCTTAATATCTGGAGCCATTAAAAACAAAAGGCATGACCTAAATATTACTTGCTATGTTTTAGCGGTGTTAATCAACGTATTTGCCATTTCACAGTACTAAACAAATAAATTCTCTCACAAGGCTTGCATAAAGTCCTTTTCGGGTCAGAAAACTTTGGGCAGGCATCCGTCCTTAATATTATACGTAGAGTACTAATGATGCATCCTTGATTTCATATCGCTTTCCACCTATGACAATGGCAAACATTTTTCTGCGTTAAGACCAGCTTCTTATAACAACACAATTGACAAGCAGGCTCACGCACAAAAACCCTTCCAACTTGTAATGACACTGATGTTACTTTTAATAATTTTGAGGAAAATTAATCGGCTTTTTAGATTGTTTTGCAGGCTGGTCTCTAAAGAATTTAAACTTGGCTTGCGCATATCTTACAGCATAATTGGCTGTGTTTTAAGATAAACGGCAAAAAATAACACAGTGAAATTCTTTGAAATCTGCATGTCCAATTGCACAGTCCACTTGCGACTTTCACTGCTTCAAAATCCTCGTGCGTTTGTTGCAAAACAAATGCGACTATGTAATCTACTCAAAATTTTACGTTCGGATCATGATTTCTAATTGCACTGGGTAGACATATTAGCTCACTAACCCCTTTGCGTGTTTGAGCTAAATTGGAAACTCAAAAGATGCCATTCGCTTAAGTCAAAAATGCGGTGAATGTAGTATATCCCCAAACCTTTACAAAGTCCACTACTATAATGTTTCAGGCATATATAACATATAGTTCACTTGCAATGCGATTGGACGTTCCCGACTGTATAAGTTGGATAGGAAGAGAAAGTATGCAATATAAACCGGTCTGACGTAACCATGAACTATTTTCGCAGACTGCGGTATCACCCTCGACTGAAAATTGTGTAAAATTAAAATACCCCTACTTCCTTGGCGGAAAACGAATAGTGACTCTAGAATATGTTGTGCTCCGCTTGAAACTCCTTTAACCTTCTTGTTATCTTTAATACTAAAAAAGTTGAAGCCCACTTTCAGTGGGTTTTTTTACTGTTCCGGCACTCATTCCTGTATTGCTGACTGAACGAAGTGCAATAAGTGTTATACATTTGTATAAATAAATAAAGTGCATCTGTGGTCTGTCGGAAAATTTCACTTTGTACATGATTCTTTAACGTCACTTAATGAAATGAAAGTCCAGACAGATGAGCTAATGTGCACTAAACATCTGGTTACATAGAAGGAGCTCTTTTCGATTGTCCAAGCGACAACTTACTTCAGTTGGGAAGTAAACTATGCAATTTTAATGAGATAATGCACTTAAAAACTGTTAAATATCACAGGCAGTCTCGAAGAAATGCGTGCCAAGACAGCAAGCTTGGAAGGCTTCCGTAGTAGCTCGCGTAACGATTCTTAAAAGTTTGCAACTTGTCTCTTAATTAAATAGATAAATAGCAATTGCATGGTTGCAGGCACCAGCATTTCACTATTCACCAAGGTCGTGTTTCTAGTACCATACACGAGGGATCTTACCCGGGCTCATTTGGGAACTCCTGGAAGTTGTTTTCAATAGATCCGGTGTTATCAGCGAGGTTAATGTCAAAGTTATCCTGTCCTTGGGGGCTGGCGGCTTCGTCTTCCTGCTCAGGAGAGCATGAACTTGAAATACTCTCATTGCCGTCCACACTGGCAGCAGCAGTCGCCGCACCATTAATAACACTTCCAGTTGTATCTCCAATGCTGACAGCACCGACCCCAGTGCCATTCAAGTAAACACCTGATGTAGTATTTGCCGCCGACTTTGAAGTTGAAATGGTCCTCTCCACCACAACCATTGATGCCATTCGTAGTAGGGGAAACGGCGGGACGGGACGGGGCGGGGGCTTCTCTAGACGGCCGCAGTAGGACGTCGACCCTGGGCTCCAAAAGTGCTACACTGGGTTAGTGATGACCCCAGCTGACG